TTAGTCTGAGTTGGTTCAATAGAATTATAACTCGGTTGTAGAATTCTTCGATTGTTTCTGCATCCTTCATTTTAAGCCCATCAAATTCACATCTAAGGGTCTGTAGTCTTACAACCCTTACCTTGTCTTCCCCACGATAAGTTTTGTATAATACATCCCATGCATCTTAGGATGAAGACGTGTAGGATATCCTTTCAAAGATAATCTCATCAACGGCTTGATATAAGGTGTAGAGAGCCTTGTTGTCTTTCTTTCTTAAATCCCTTAAGTCCTCTTCTTGTTCTGGTGTGAGTTCATCTCATTCTTCTGGTTCATCGAAGCTAAGCTCTATAATGTCCCATAATTCTTGTGACTCAAACAGAACCCTCATTTGTATACTCCAATGGTGATAGTTCTTCCTATTCAGTTTGAGAAGTTGTGGGTGTAATAAGGTGTTCGAGGTCGAGGCCATAATCTGTGCTCTGATACCACATTGTTAGATATACAAGTAAATATTCTATATCTTTATGTTTTATTGTCATAAAATCACATAAGGTACATACATAGACATATATATACACAACCAAGGGTCATACCCTTAAGGCCAAATGACTCAACCTTTCACTAACTAATACCCCTGTTACCAAACGATCTGTCTGTCCAAAATAACTAACTCAACTGTCAGACATAAACTAACTTAATTGTAACTGTCATATGTCTAACTTAATTTTAATAGTTTTGTGATAAAAAAATGATGAACACTAGAAAAGCTCGAGTCTTTAAGGCTTAAAGTACTTATTTTTTCACATCATTTATTTGTTAAATCATCATCTAGAAGTTTTGTTTCATGTTGTGGCTGCTATTTTGTTTTATCTTTTAAATATTATTATTTTATATCTTTTTCCACCGACAAGCTGATTTTAGACTTAGACTCGTCACATTATAACGAAATTGGATTTATAGGACGTCATCAATTTCAAGACGTCTTAATAAAAGGGTCATTTCTAAAGGTATTATAACAAGTTCTTAATAAAACTTTTAATACAACGCGTTTGAACAGAAATAGATACTAATTGTGGTCGATGTTTTCTTTAAGTTGTAATTGCTGCCTGCTAGCAAGAACAACCTTTCTATTTGTTCTTGTTCTTGAAACTCATATTCTAGTAAAAATTTTGTTGAAAACCTCCAAATAGCAGTGGGTCATTGTCATTTTTGTGCTCAAACTGTGGTAAGCACCAAAGTTGTTGGTTTGGATTTATCAAAGAATTTTCTTGATATTTGTATATTTGTGTGTTATAACAGATGGAGCTTTTTGGCTAAATTCCTGGTTGGCCGATTGAACAGCTTTTTTGATTCATTAGGTCATGTTTTATTGGGTATCAAGTGTTTCGTGATTTAATGAATATTTCTTGACTAGCTTAAATAAATATAGGAAAATGATATTTCGACTGTTATTTATTCAAAATGTATTAATATATAAATACTAAGTGAAATCATATCATCGTTAAAATCTCATCTAATAAAACCACCAAAAAGCTTCAAAATTGTTTACATTTACGGCTCCTGTCTCATCGCGCGAGTACACATCTGGTATGTGTGATTGTGCGTGTGTATATATCGAATTTTCGGACGAGTGGGGTGGTCAAAGGTTAAATCCAACCCGAACCCAAATATCCTCAAAAGTCAAATTTCAAATTTTTGGATTGCTGGGTATTCGGGTTTTACACAAACATCTCATTTTTGTGTTTTCAGATGTTTGGACGGCTTAACAAGTTCCTTATGACATTTTTAAAAACAGAACATCCTATTAATTTTTCTTAAATGACATTAGAAAGCGTTTTATATAAAAAAATGTCCTAGAAAAAAAATGTGTTCATAGGAGACTTCTTCAAAGTGTCCAATAGAAAAACTAATATAACATTTACTTAAGCCCAAGGCATGGATCTGGTTCGAGAAAGGATGGACGAAGACACTAGTCAAAAAAACTTTATAAAAAACCGTATTATAAACTTACTGTAATATTTATACATGTAACACACAAATATTTTATTTATTAGGACACTTACAAAATATTTACGTGCTATAACCTCATTTTTGTTGTAGTGAGACTTGTCAATTCAACATCCACAGATAATTTAAGAGTTAACACCATTGTTGTCTATTTGACACACATACATTCATATTTTCAAGATAAAGAATATGTAACAATCTATATCACATAGATTGATAGCTGAATCTGTGAGGTCCTTATAAACTCAAAGTTATAGACCATCAATAATTTTCACTATAATTTTAATATAATTTCGAGATTATTGAGTTCTACTTTAGACTTGGGATGTTACGTAATAGGTTTGGTTTCTTTATTATAAAATCTACAATCATATATGCAGTTCTGATTGATTTTTGTAACGTTTCGATTATTCTTTGTCGAATTTTGGTTGATTGGCTCTTCTTGATGTCTTTTTTTCCCTTTCTAGATGTTCATTTTTCCCTTCTTTTGAATGTCTATACATTCTCTTTTGGCCAATATTTAGAGATAGTTGTTTATTTGCAACCAAAATAAAGTCCAACCCTTTAAAAAGTTTGACTCAAAATCTTAATTGTCTACCAAGACAAGTCTAGTCTTTTCACTTGGTATTATTTAACAAACTAATATGCATTGATTATTCAAGGCATAAAGCATTTATTTCTTTACTTTTAGGTAGTTTATTTTCTTTTATCCTAACCTTAAGTCCTTTTTATTACATTATTTTCCATTTGTTTATATTTGAAGCTAAATTAAGTGATTAGCTTGTCTTTGCATCATTAGCGTAGAAAAATCTTAACTTGAAAGCATAATGTTCTGTGTTGCAGCATTCCGGCAGCACTGAACTGTCATAAAACGGCTTTTTGGGAAGAACTTAAGAATTCAGCTACAGATTAAGGAGTAAGACAAATTTTTGTTAATTCAGTGGATAAGGACCTCTACATCTGGAATGAACGTTTTTTGGAGGTTACTTTTGTTTTTATGTGATGATACCTTTTTCTCTTTAGCCTTTTGTCTCCCTTTTTGAAACCATGGCTCTTCCAAGACTTTTGTCTTCTTCCTTGGCTCTTTTGTATAAATAAGACCCCATGGTAGCTCATAAATCCATCCCAAAAACACTTATTCAATTTTGTATCTCGTTCATATGTGCAAGTTAGTTCTTAAATTTCTTTAAAAAATGTTCTTTTATATGAGTTGCTGCAGCATTGTTCTTACTTTATTTACTTTTCTTGTCATTTAATTTTCGCTCTTTTCATTCAGTCATTTACTTTCCGTCATTTATACTTATGTCTTTACTTTTTGTTCTTTATATTTTTTGTCATTTAATTTCTATAATGAGTAGCTAATTCCGTTAGCTAGGGTGTAAGACAAATGATGAAATGTTAAACCAAAAGAAAGTGGACTTTATTTCGCAATAACAATGTTCCACTACTTCGTTCAAGTTTTTATAAAAACCAAGCACACTTCTTTACGAGTTAATCACTATTTTGAAAGTGTTAAAGTGTCGTGGTCTTAGAGATAAGCCATTGAATGCACGTCAGCTTGAACGATATAAGAGGTAGACTTGAGAAAGTTGCCGACAAGGAGACTTGTCATTTATGTCTTTCAAATTAACTCCCGAAAGGTTGGTCACTCTTTAAAAGTTTCGAAGTGTGGTAAATTCAGAGATGAACTATCTAGAACACACACCAACTTGAATGATATAGGAATCGGCTCGAAAGAGTGATTTTTAACAAGAAATTTGGTTATCCATATATTTTTAAGACACCATTTTGTCACTATCCCTGGTCCGGATACCACATAGAGATATGGATTGAAAGCTATAATATAGTGCAATGGTGAAGTCCGAGAGGAATACCTTCAAAATAGATGGTGGAACTAGTTATGGCTTACTGCATGTTGTAGCATTCCTACAACATTGTCTGCTGGTATTTGTGTTTACATTTCACCACAAGTCTTACACCCATGCTACCCCCTGTATATTATGTTATTTTATCATTGTTAGCTCAGAATCAAACTGAAGTCTTCAATTTCATCATCTGAAATCATCTCTTTTATTGGACTCTTATTAAGTCTTTGCTACAATCTCCGTGGACGATATTCGGTTTTTACCACTTTATTACTTGGAAAAGACGACATTGGACCATATTGTATACTTTCTTTGTGGTTCATGTTATAAGTCTAAGGGTGTGAAAATAACCTACCAAGTTTTTGGCGTTGTTGCCGGGGATTGACAAGCTAAAAGTTCTTTTTAAGAATAAAGTAAAGATTTGATTTTTCTAGTACCGTTTGAATCATTTGAAAGTGGTGTATGCCACAGATACACTACGAGGAATTTCTCGAATTTGATCCTGATATTGAGAGAACATTTCGCCAAAAAAGGAGGGGACAAAGAGCATTTTTTTCTCTACTCCCTCCCAACATGGCGTTACCTCCCCCAATCATTCTAGATGTGCCACATTTGGAAAATCAACCGCCTGTTTTTGCATCAATACCGCCATTCCAGAACTTTCCACAATGACACCCATACAATGATAATAATATGGGTAATGATGACACGGAATCGGAAAATAATGATCAACCAAGAGCACAAACTTCAAATATAATCAATCTGGCAAACTCTAAAAATGGAAGAATCATGGACTATGCTATCCCTGATTTTGAGCAATTAAACTTCGGGATAGGTAGGCCACAAATGGCATCCCTCCATTTCGAACTAAAATTGATCATGTTCCATATGTTGCAAACAAATGGAAAATTTGTTGGATTACCATCGAAAGACCCTCACTCACATCTAAAGTCTTTCATAGAAATCACCGATGCTTTCTTGATCCCGGAAGTGTCTAATGACACTTCAAGACTCATTTTATTCCCATTTTCTTTACGGGATCAAGCAAAGGCATGGTTTATTTCATTACCACCGGGTTCTGTGCCATCTGGGAGTAATATGGATGAAAATTTTTAGCGGAAATATTTTCCACCCACTAGAAACGCTAAGTCTAAAAATGAAATCTGTCTTTTTTAAACAAATGGACGATAAAGTTGTTCATAATGCGTGGGAGAGGTTTAAATAGATGTTAATGAAATGCCCACACCATGGCATTCCCTACTGTATTCAACATGAGACATTTTACAATGGGTTAAGTCCCATGGCTAAACAGATGCTCGACGCGACTGCAGGAGGGGCCTTTACAGCTAGTACCTACAATAAAGGGTATGAGATCATTGAAAAAATTTCAGCAAACAATGGACATTGGGCTGATCCAGATGCTCAAAAACAAAAGAAGACTGCTGGAATTCATGATGTAGATGCATACACTGCATTAATAGCACAACTCACTTCCATGGCCACCATGGTTAAAAACCTTACTTCTGGCCAAGGAATGCAACCAGCTGTTACTACACCTATTCCAAAAGTCCTTTCAGTACAATGTTTTTGTTATGGCGGGGAACACTCGTATGAATATTGTCCTCATAATTCTGAATCTATAAACTCTGTTCATAACGGATCTGGTCCCTATACCAACAATTACAATGCAAGTTGGAAACAACACCCAAATTTTTCTTGGAATAGTCCATCTTTAAATCCACCTGCACATAAGCAGCAAGGAACCTCTAATTTTCAACCCCAACAACATGTAGGCAGCTCTAACTCTCAAAATCATCACCAAAATTTTCAACCTACTCAACCACCTTTTCAAAACAAGCCACCTCCATAGGATGATTTATCATCTTCTTTGGAAGCAATGATAAAAGGGTTATTTACGTAAGCTCAAGCTCAAAAAATAAGCTTTGATAACCCAACAAAACTCTCAGAATCAATCTCTTTTTAATCAACAAAGTGCTGCTATCAGAAATATGGAAACCTAGGTCAGTCAACTTGCACTCAATCAGACCAGTAGAGTCATTGTTACTTTGCCTAGTAAAACAAAAGTCCTGAGAGTCGTAGGAAAGGAACATGTGAAAGAAGTGACCCTGAGAAGTGGGAAGAATTGACAGATGCATTGCAAAAAGATCGTGAACCAATTTTGTCAAAAACGGATGCTACATCATTGACCCCTGTTATTGAAAAACTACCAAAACCATTAGAAAACCAATCATCTAAGGTCATTAATATTGTTCCCCCAAAATCAGACTACCCTTTACTGTTTCCAGAAGAGGCCACTAAGAAAAAGTCTTTACAAATAAGGTTATAGCAGATTCTAAGACCAAAGTCGTAACCCTATCCACACCACAAGAGAGTAAGACCACCCAAGGCATAAATGACTCATCTTGCTCAACACATTCAAACAAAGCTGTCATAAAACCAGTTCCTCCTTATGTACCTTACCCCAAAGGTTGAGAAATCAGAAGGAAGAACTGCATTTTAAAAAATTCTTGGATGTGTAAAAAGAATTGCATATCAACATACCACTTGCTGAGGCAATCGAGCAAATGCCTAGTTATGCTAAGTTCCTTAAGGACATCCTAAGTAAGAAGAAGAAGCTGACCAAGTATAAAATCATAGCTCTTACTGAAGAATGTAGTGCACTTCTGACCAGCAAGATACCTCCTAAGCTTAAAAACCCGGGAAGTTTCAGTATTCCTTGTTCTCTAGGTGGGAAGGAGATTGGGAAAGATTTGTGTGACTTAGGTGCAAGTATCAACCTCATGCTTTTATCTGTTTTCAATACCTTAGGCATAGGAGAGGCTAGACCTATCACTGTTACTCTTCAATTGGCCAACAAATCCATTGCATATCCTAAGGGAAAAATTGAAGATATTTTAGTGCAAGTTGACAAGTTCATATTTTCGGCAGATTTTATCATCTTAAACTTTGAGGCCGATAAGGAGATTCCTATCATTTTAGAGAGACCATTCCTAGCCACCGGAATAACTTTGATAGATGTCCAGAAAGGAGAGCTGACTATGAGCCTCCAGGACCAAAAAGTCGCATTTAATGTTTTCAATTCTTTGAAAGCCCTTAAGTATAAAGAAGAGAGTGATGAGGTAATAGAGAAAATGACTGTTAAGGAATTAGAGGTAGTAGGATATGATGTTGTCACAGTAGATGATGCAACATTTGAGTTGCTAGAAAATAGAGAGCAGAACGACTTCACCTCATCCATTATATCACCACCTGACTTGGAGTTGAAACAACTCCCATCTCATTTGAAGTATGATTTTCTAAGAGAAGAAGGCAAATTGTTTGTCATCATCTCATCTACCCTAGATTTGCATCAAGAGAAGAAATTAGTGGATATGTTGAAGTTGCACACAAAAGTTATAGATGGACCATTGACGACCAAAAGGGGATTAGTCCTTCTTTTTGTCAACATAAAATCATCCAAGATGACAATAACTTCACATTCATAGAGTCACAAAGAAAGGTGTCTACTTTTGACAAAACCATAAATAAATTATTCGGTCTCTCGCCTCACATAGATTCTGATAGTGATGCACTCTTGCACACGGCCCCTGAGGCATATTTGGTTGAGATTATGACTTTCCTCGGAATGCCTAAGATTGACTGGGAGCCTTATACTCATTTCATGTTGAAAAACTTTAAGGCTGCCAATTTGTCCTTTAATGAAAATGTTTAGATAAGCTTTATTATACATTATTTATCACCGACTAATCATAACAGCTCCATTTTTGTAGAAAGGTTGGTGCTTTTATTTATTCTCATAACAGGTGAGAACATAAACTTTTCGTGAAAACATTCTAAAGGCCATCAAGGTGGAGAATCAAAGGCTGTTTGAAGAGAATGAGAAGTTGAAGAAGGATTTTGCATGTATAAGGCATCACCTTTGCATCACAGGCTATGCAGCCTACTCCTTTGGAGTAGGACAGGTTCAATCATATTTCTTTAGTCTCCAAATATTTGTTTAATTTTTGAGTCTGGGATAATTTTACATTTTTTTTTATTTATTTTCTTTACAAGAATGCATGTTCGTTGATAGTTGCCTTTGATGTCATAGCCTAAATAATTCTGAGGTTGTTACATATTCACCTAGTAGATATGTTCTTGCTAGAACTAGCACCATTCTTTTTGGGATAGAACTTGACTCACGCACCAATAACATGAGGAGCATGATATAGCCCTTTCATCACAACTCACAAATAGCCACTTGTACCCTCTATTCACTACACACCCCATATAGCCAATAATGACATTGTCAACATTTCAAGTTTGGGAGAGGGTGTTCCACTAAAGCCAAATCATCAATACAAAAGAGCAAAGCTCTAAAAAGATATCTTAGTTGGACTTGTACAAAGCACAAAAAATGTCTCATATGTCTCATTTGTTAACCAATCTGAACCTTTCATTTTCTTTATCAATGGTTGTGGTTAAATTAAAGGTTATAATCTGATAAAAAAAATTAAATGATATTAAATAAAGGACATTTTTGGAATAAATTATTTTTATTTTTGAAATATAATCATATAATATTTTTGGAAAATAATGAATAATAATATTTAAATAATTTTTTTATCTTTGAAAGATAATCATATTTTATTTTTGTAAGATAATCAATGATAATATTTAATGATTTTTGCCTAATGGTAAACTAGAAAGTTTATAGGTGAAACCAGAAATTAGAACAATGATTTTATTTAAAGTTTATAGATGAAACCAAATAATCAAAATTAATAGGTGAAACCAAAAAGTAAAATAATAATTTTTATTTAAAGTTCATCTGTGAAAAACAATGATTTGTTTTTAAACTTCATATTGTTGTTTCGTGTATGAACTTTGGTCGTTCTAATAGTTTTACTAAAGTTCATAGATGAAACCAAATTGAAAGAGATAATTAAGAAAGTTTAAACAAGTTCTCTGGTGAAACCAGAAATTCATAGGTGAAACAATTAAGTGAATGAGATAAATAAAAATGTAATAATTAAGTGAATTAAATATGTAAGGAATGTGGTATCAATAAATGAAAAGGACGAAAATTTCCCGATTAACAAAGTTTGTACTATTTCTTTGGTTAACAAAAAAAAAAAAAAGGATCTCTCTGTATAATGTTAAGTTTAAATGAGAAGCCTTAAATTTTAAAAAATCGGAGAAACAACCTCAACCACTAAATTAAGATAATTGTTGAAAAAATCAAATATCCTAATTTATTTCTTATTTTTTCTATAACATTTTTTCAACATTAATAATTATTGATTTTTATCTAATTTTTCATCTTGAAGTCATTGACAATTTTACAATCTAAAAATCAAATTAAATCTCAGCAACGATATTTTTCATTGGTTCATAAGTGAATATGTGAATCCTAACATAGGTTCACATATAAATCTTAATCATAAGTTGTACGTGAATCAAAAAAATTTATAACCGAGATTTTGAATCAGTTTAAAATTTATATATGAAATGTGAATCATAACATTGATTCACATGTGAATCTTAATTATAAATTATATCTGAGTCAATTTACATCGGATAAGAGAGATTCTCAATCAATTTAAGATTCATATGTGAATATATAGATCATCATAGATCTTAAATAAAAGATAATGAAATTCTCATTGTTTTTTGGTATAATATATATAAATAAAATATTAATTATATTTTAGGTAATTTAATTTAAAAGAAAATGGGTAAAAACTTTCAACCATTAGATGAGATTTTTCAATAGTTAAGATCTTTGGACAAAATATGTAAACATAGACAAAATTATGAATAATTTAAAGAAGCTAAAAAAGTTGAAGGACATTTTAAAAACTTTTGTATAATTATCACTAATTCACTCAATTTTTCACAAAATTTATCTACTTTCTTTTTTTAAATAAAAAAAATTAGATTACCTACTTTTCTTTAAGTTAAATTATCTAAAATATAATCAATATGTTATTTAAATAAATTACACCAAAAAAAAAAACGAGAATTTCATTATATTTAATTTAAAATCTATGATGATATATTTGTTTTTTATAATATGAATTTTAAACTGATTCAGAATATTGATTATAAGTTGTAAATTGATTCACATACAAGTTATAATCAAGATTCATATGTAAATCTATATTAGAATTCACACATTCATATGTGAATCTATATTTCTTGGCTATAAATTTAAATTGATTCGCGTACAAGTTATGATTAAGATTCACATGTGAACAATATTAGAATTCACATGTGAACATATGAACCAATATACACCTAATTTTCACCTTCTAATAGTGGTTTGTTGGGAACTATTGTGTTTGGTTATGTGATAACCAGGTTTGCGGTTATAAAAGTTTGAGGGTTGCTTTGAAGAATTGTGAAAGCTAAGGGTTTGTTTTGAGAAGTTCTTTTAAAATATTATTTTCGTCCACCGCCTCTTACTAAATATATGCATATTATGAAGATATTTCCTATTTGGGATTTGGTATAAAAAAAAGTGTGTATTTTTGCTTTGGGTTCGAACAAGCAGAAACTGAAGAAGGAAGAAGAGTCTGATTTTGTGTTATGACTGGATTATTTGCTTCTGTTAACATCTTCATATCTCTGTGATCATAAGGTGAGTTTTAATTTGAAAACATCATTTATTATGCTTTTGGTGAAGAAACCATAAGGTTTTATATGTGAGTATTTGATGATTACATGCTATTTATTAGCATAAATTTTGAGTTTCGATATGATTTTATCATTTTATTGTAATAAGAGTGGCATAATCAGGAGCTGAGTATTATTTGGTAATAAGGGTGGCATAATCAGGAGATGAGTATTTTTGTTAATAAGGGTTGCAAAATCAAGAGAGATGTATATCTTTGTAATAAGGGTGCGTAATCAAGAGTTGTGTATTATTTGGTAATAAGGAAGGCATAATCAGGAAATGAGTATTTTTTATAATAAGGGTGGGAAAATCAGAAGAGGTGTATATCTTTGTAATAAGGGTGGCATAATCAAAAGCTGGGTATACTGGATAAGAGTGACATAATCAAATTCTGAAAATGATGATCTTAAGATCATGAGAATCTGTTATCGCATCAGTGTAATGCGATCAGGTTGATTTTTATCGCATACGTGTGATGCGATGAAATTGGGATGAAAATTGAAGTGTTATTTATAACATCTTCGATTTCCATCCCATCCTTGAGATGCGATATGTTGAGTTTATCACACTAGTATGGTGTGAGAAGTTACTGTTATCGCATCAGTGTGGTACGATAAAATGGTGGTTATCCCATCTATATGGTGTGATAAGTGTGTTTATCACATCTATTGGATGTCATAAATTGAGGTGATCGCATCCTTGAGATGTGACAAGATTGGGATATCGCATTCTTGAGGTGCAACAAGGGGGTTAGTCGGTTATCACATGTGTTTGATGCGACAAAATATGGTATCGCATCGGTGTGATGCGATAAGTTGGTATATTACATGTGGGATGCGACAACTTTATTATTTGTTTATTTAATGCGATAATTTTGAGACTTCACTGTTTATTTGTTATATATACAAATATGGGCTTTATAGAAGTGTTTTGGTGATTTTTTTCATCCTGTAATAACAATCAAAAGAGATTTCTCACTAAAACTTATGGTCTAACCCTTATTTGTGTTTTAAAATGTGCTTTACAGGTCAGACATAATTAGAGGATAAGAGAAAGGGGAAAATGTGAAGATATAATGATTGCTTTACATATGTGGATTTTAAAAGATGTTATATAACTTGTACTTGATAACTTTTTATGTTTACAAGTTTTGTGTTGGGTGTATATGGAAAACATTGTAGCTACTTTTGTAGTATGACAAGTTGTACATTTGGGACTAGTGTGTAATTATTTGAATTTCATATTATATGAAATATGAGGGTTATATGCAAATGTGAAATGAGGTGTTATAGATTGCATTTTCAGACGACCAATGGAGATCATCGATGTTCGTGTTCACATATGAGATTTGCAAATAAGATTTAATTCGAGTTGTAGATTTAAAATCGCCAATTATTTCAAGGTGAAAAATTGGATAAAAAAAACCGAATACTCAAAAAATGTTATAGATTTGTTTATATTTGTCTTAATAGTAAAAAGAAGACATGGAAATTATAATTTTAAACTAATGGTCAACCGGTGGACAAATCTTGACCCTCCATCTTTGTTTGATATAACGATTCACATTAAATATAACTTTTTAATTAAAATGATTAATTAAGATGATTAGCACGAAAACGAAGTTTATTTTAATCTTTCCCACGTTTATATATATGCTTTTTTTCTTTTATTTTTTAAACTAAAAATTGTTACCCTTCATTTATAAATTCTTATATTTAAAATTACTAATATCTTAACCATACATATTACATAAGGAAAAAAAGAACATTTTAGCTGTTTTTAACATGAAATGTTATATATGTGTTATTTATTATGAATATTCATGTACGTTACGATGCGTATAACAGTTCGACGTCGTAAATCTGTAAGTCGACAACACCTTCACCGTGAGTCTGTAAATTGACATCATCTTCTTCTACATCATAGTCTGTAACTCAAAAACACCTTCAATGTAAGTACGTAACTTGGTATCACGTTTTTCATGACTATAACCCAATACCTATCAAGAGTGAACATGAACCATTCATTGACTTGGTGTGTGTTTATGTGTCTAAAACTATAACTCACAACCTTGATTTTTGATCAAGACAAATTGAAAATCTATCAATTGACTTCTGCTGTGTTTGTGTGTATAAAACGATAACCTACCAGTTTTTATATACACGTGAACATACATAAATATTCATAATAAATATTATAAAAATATACCATTTTACGCGAAAAACCATTTAAAAGAAAAAAAAAAAACTATATTGAAATGAATGTCAAATCGAACAGAATTAAATGCTCGTTTTATGACAAAATTTGTTTGATTAATATATTAATAATTTTTAAGATAATTTAGTTTAAAAATTAACTGGGTAAATTTTTGTACTTAAAAAAGAAAAAGAACCAAATAAGTTAGCAGTGTGATTCAAATTTGAAATTAATTTCATTTTTACTCATAATCACTCCTTGTAAGCACTTTGTGTTTTAGGCTTTTATTAGTTTTCCTAATTTGATCAATAACTCAGATTTGTCCATTAATTTACAACCTAAAATTGGTTTGCAATTGAACACACACACACATATCTATAGTATATTATAAAGCATTTGATAAAAACTCTTAAAAACCATGTTTTATACATGAAGTACTGTTTATTGATGCATATTACTTAAAATTTAATATTACAAGTAAATTGTGCGTATGTACAACTTATTAAAGTTTCATGTTTAAATTCATGTAACTAACTGTAGATAAACATAATCAAATAGAGAATAAATATTTCATTTTAAATATAAAAAATTTAAAATATAATTAAGATAATCATTGAGTTTAAAAAACTATAACTAGAGGAACTCAAGTCATTAAAATACAACTAAACTACTAAGATGTAACTCGATATAAAAAACATATCTAGAAGAACACGTTACTTTGAATTTAGGAAAAAAAATTAAAAATATCTAACTACAATTACAAAACATGTAATTTACTCTAAAAATAATCATTAGGTGTAAAAAACTAAAAAATCTATTGTAATAGTTTTTTGCATTCTCATTTCTTACTTTTTCCCTTTTGAAGACATGATTAAAAAATATGTTGTATGATAATTACACAAAAAGGTATATAATTTATTAATTAAAGCAAATATGTCGAAATTGCTCTTATAACTGATAAATATCACTGGCTCATCCTAAGAAAATACCACATTTCGTTCGGAATTTGATAGAATGATTTTAAGGATTTTGGATATAATTAAAGAATATGTTGGATATCAGTTACATCAAATTTCAATAATATTCTTAGTTGTTTGGTTTGACGAAACGATATTAAGGAATTTCTATTTTTTTTTAAAGATTTGTAAACATAAGGATTTAGATTTGGAATATTTGGTGTATAGGATTTTGAATAAAGTTGGATTCCATTGTTTATAAAATTCATACAAATAAATTAACTAAACTATCTTTTTATTAATTGATTTTGAGGAATTTGAATTGGAATATTACTAAAGTTAGAACATTTTACATGTTTTTGAATAACTTAAAACAAAAACACGTTTTAACAGACGATTGAAATATAATTTAGAGTAAATTATCATTTTCATTCCTCTGATTATATAAGAATTATGCATTAGGTCTCTCAAACGAAATTATTACATGTATGTTAAACTATATTTTATTTGTTGATTGAGTCTCTTATCCTAATCACGGTAGATATGTTGTTGTTAACCCCCCCCCCCTCCCACATGCCCCTTCCACGAGGGGTATTTTCGTCTTTTCTGACTTAATGTACAACTTTATTTAGCTTATTACACCTATCTAAAGCATTTTAAAAAACAAAAGTAAAGACAAAAACAAAAACAAAACATAAATCAAGTCAACCTAAATCACGGGGTGTTTGGGATTGCTTATAAAAATAACGTATTGACTTATTTCAGTGTGACACCGGTAATAAGAACTTTTGACTGTTTGGATAAACAGATTATACCGGTGCCATACTGGTAATAAGAAGTTTTTGAATAAGTTAAATCATTCTAACTTATAATAAGTTGATAAGGACTTTTGTAAGAAAGTATAAGTTGTTTCAAATAAGCAATCACAAACACTCCCTCAATTGTCGATCACCTCTTCTCATTCTTCGCCTGCGGCCCTCCCCCATCTCAGACCACTCCCCCTTCTTCGATCACCCTTTCATCTCTGGTCCGCCATTAACAAAACAAAATAGAAGCTTTCCGCCCTCTCTCTCACACATACAAGATGAAAATAATCAAACACAATGGTTTGGTTTCCAGCTTCATTAAGTTTGAGGTTTATGATATTGGTTTCATATTAGACTGCAGAATGGGTTATAGATTCGACCAGATGATAGATTTTGCTAAGGGTGAGCAGCGGAACCGGAACCGCCTTGGAACTGCCAGTTCCGGTTCCGGAACTGATATGAGTGGTTCCGGTTTCTAAAATACGGAACCGATTGAGAATGGTTGTGGTTCTCAATTTTTTGGAATTGTTACCCGCCGTGACCGGTTCCAGGACCGGGTACCCGGAACCGGCGGGTACCCGGTATTTTTCAATTAAAAATAATAATTTATTTTTAATACTAAATTTAAATTAGGTCAAGAACTTAGAACTCTAGATTAGATTTTTGAGATAAAATGATTCGTATTTTTTCAAATTGTGTGTTTAATTAGATTCGTAGTATGTAATCGTTAAACATTGAACATTTAAAATTATAGTATGTAATCGTTAAACTTTCAACATTTACTATTAGTCTATTATGGTTTGTAATCGTTAAACAATATTTGTAACCATTATTCCGTATAATTTGTATTATTGTTTATTTATTTAGTGTTTTGACAATGTTTTATTTTTTATTTCTAAATAACAAAATTTTAATATTTTAGGAAGCGGGTACCCGGAACCGGTTCCCGGCAGTTTCGGTTCCGGTTCCAAAAATTCAAGAACCGCTCTAAACGGTTTCGGTTCTAGTTCCAATATCTCAAGAACCGCCGGTTTCGGTTCCAGTTCCGATTCCTGTCAAATAAGACGGGTCCCCCCTTTGCTCACCCCTAGATTTAATCAATGATGGGTTCCAGATTTGACCAGAAAATGGGTTTCAAAAATGGGTTTTATGTAACGAAAAAAATTCTGGTCGGAGCTAACTACTTGAGTTAGGGGCCGTTTACCTAAACACTTACCCGGTAAGCACTTACCGTTAAAATTCAACACTATCGCTTATTTATAAGGTAAGATTTTATTCACTAAAACGCATCGTATGCAACAATCTATCCCGGTAAGCGCTAACCATGGTAAGAGTCCTCGTCCTCACTTACCAGGTAAGACTCTCGATTTTTTTCTTTGCTCTAAGATTTTTAGTCTCTGTCATATTTATCCGGTAAAAAAAAATGACTTGGTAAATACTTACCTGGATAAACGTTTGATAAATGGGACCTTAGTGCTAATGGGAGATAGACGAAGAAGGGATATATTGGGATTGGGCTGGGTTTTCTAAAATATTTCCCCCTAAATGCTTTAAAAGCTTGTAGAGATATTAAAAAAAATATTAAATAAAATAGTAAAATGAGGCGCTGATATAAATGGCACATGGGTGATTTAACTGAGCTTCGTTTAACGGAGTTAGATTTAGAGACATTGATTCGTAATGAAAATAAAACTACAGTGTCAGTGACTAAACATTTAATTATTTCGTTTAAAATATTTAATCCATAATTTTTTAGGAGACCCAATTACAGAATTTTTTATGTAAAGAATGATTACGGAAATGAAAATGTCTATTTATTTATACGTCTTTTTCCATGAACTTACAACATTACAAAAATGGTAATTGTCGTCAATTATGAAACACTTATTATTAATATTTTTTGTTATTTTGGAATTAATCGTGTTCACAACATTGAAATGGATGTTTGAAACAAGTCAAAATGGACAAAAATTAATCACGGCCTAATCAAAGTAAAGTCAAGATTTGGCTCTTTATTAAATTCATTTTCAATTCTTTCCTAAAAAATTTAAATAAACACACACACACACATAGATATATGGGTTATATCATGTGACGACCAAAAAATGTTGAGTACCGTAAGGACCAATCTCAATCACACAAGGATTTTAATCAGAGGTCATTAGACATAGTGGCACTTTTTGTGATACACTACTAAAAAATGGGGTTTTTCCGACGGCAAAATCCGTCGGAAATCCGTCGGAAAAACAATTTTCCGACGGAT